GGGAACTGCAGCTGGGGAAGGGGGGCACCAGATGGGGGGCTCCTCAAAACTGAGATGTGCAGGGTTTCTACAGGCAGGAGGGCTGGGTACTCATCAAGCAGAGGAGGGGGTAGTGGGCAGCCTTCAGAGCTTGGGATGGGGAGGGGCGAGGTTCAAGGTGTTGGGAGAGAGTTTAAATGCATCCCACTGAGGGGCGCCTGGGGGGCTCAGGCGGTTAAGTGTCTGACTTTGGCTCAGGTCATGATCTTTTGGTTCATGAGTTCGAGCTCCGCACTGGGCTCTGTGCTGATGGCTCAGAGCCTGGAGCCTGCTTCTGATTCTGTGTCTCCCTCTCTCTGCCCCTCCCCCACTCATGCTCTGTCTCTCTCAAAAATAAATAAAACATTAAACACACCCCCCCCCCACGGAGACATAAGAGCTTCTGCACGAATGTATACCCACCAGGCAGTGCCCCCTTTGAAGAGGGAAGAGGCCCTGGCTGGTCAGGCTTGTCCCAGCTGTGTGGCCCAACGGTCGCATGAGCGTACGGGGGTTGCACCACCTCCTTTGGGTGTGCTGGTCATGGGGGAGTACGGAGAGAGGCCCGTGTGGGCCAGGTTCCTCTTCCACGGCCTTCGCTCACTGTGGTACCTGGGAAGGGAAGGCGCAAGACGAGCCATGTTCACCTCCACACAGGGAAATGAGAAAGGCGGCCAGCCCACATCTCCACCAGCAGCATAAGGAAGAGTCCCCCTTCTGTTCTAGTTTTTAGGTCAGATTCGTGGCTTGTTGCTCAGGTTGGTGTTAAAGCTCAGAAAATCGTGTCGGGTTCCTCTCATATCAAGACAGCAGCTTCGCACCCCTTTTAATTGTTTTTTTTTTTTTTTGGAAAGAGAGAGAAAGAGTGCACATGCATGTGGGTGGAGGGGTGCAGAGAGAGAGGGAGACGTAGGATCAGAAGCAGGTTCCGGGCTCCAAGCTGTCAGCACAGAGCCCAACACGGGCGCAGGGCTTGAACTCATGGCCCATGAGATCATGACCTGAGAATGAAGCCGGATGCTTAACCGGCTGAGCCACCCAGGAGCTGTCACCCCTTTGGCAGCTGTCCGTGGAGGAGGAGGATCTTGTGCCATGACTGGGGTGGGAGGAGAGAGGGAAGCAAGCCTAAGCCAGCCCGTCCCTGGGGCCACTGGCTATGGTTACGGGGCATCTCTTGGCTTCTGGGCCCCTCGTTCTGCAGTCAGGCAGTTGTGGTGCAGAGAAGGCTGTCTCGATGTGCCAGGACCTTGACCGTGGAGCAGCACGCAACCGCCAGCCCGCTTGGCACAGACTCTAGAGCGACGACTTGGGGTCAAAAGAAGGCTCCCTCTGAGTTTCTTACCAGCTCATCCAAGGAGGAGGACGGGGAGGGAGGGCTGGGGGACCAGGAACGGAAAATGTGGCCAGTAGGACATCATGTTCCCTGTGGGATGGGAACCATCAGTGGCAGCCCGGAGCCGGAAGTTTCTCTGGGTCTTCTGCATTCGGGGTCAGGCCTCCCTGGGGGACCAGCACCCCTGGGATAGGGGAAGCAGAGCCCAGGAGCTCTTTCAAGAAGCATGGGGCCAGCAGTCGGTCGTTCCTTTCGGCGGAGGACACGCGAAGTGGCTTAAAGTCACCCAGCCTCCTGGCACTGCTGCGCCTCCCTTCCTGCTTAATGCTGGCACCCACGGGGCAGCGTCAGGGAGCTCAGACTGTGGGAAATACTCTGTAAGCTTAATTCGAAGTGACTTTGCCCCCTTTCCCCTATAGAGGGAAGTCCGAACGTTCTTTGAATGCTGTTCCCCAGTGCAAAGAAAACCAAGCCATCGCCTGATCAAACTTGTCTGCAAAATGGCCAGCCGCCCACCTGGGAAGGTGGGAAAAGGGCTTTCATCCCAGTAAAGCAGGAAGGCTATAGTCAGGCTTGGTCTGTGACAGAGTAGCTTGCCAGACCTGTCCTGTCTGCCATCCTCTCCCAGATACCCAAGGGATTCAATGACTCTGAGCTTGGCGGGTTGGGGTGGGGGGTGGCTCTTGCCCAGCCTCATGCCAAAGTCTAGGGCTGGTTGCACAATCCAAGCTTAAAACTGGAAGGAAGCTGAGAGGCTTCAGGGACAGCAGCCTCTCCTGGGGGCTGTTCGCTATCTGGGGTCCCCTCAGGAGGAGGTCAGGGGCTTCTGAAGTGACTCAGAAGGAAACCAGCTGCTCTCAGCTCCATGGAGCAAAGTCCATGAAGATGTTTGCTCAAGCTTTCTGAGAATTGTTTTTAGTAACTTTTTTCTGATTAAAAAAAGAATATACGTTCATCCAGCGTTGCTAGGAATAGCCCAGACCTGGAAACGCGCCACACACATGTCAAAAAGCAGTAGAATGGGTAAATGTTTTGGTCATACGATGAAATACTATACAGTGATGAAAACGAACATCAGCTTTGTGTGGGAATGGTGGCTCTCACAAAAATAATGTGGAGCAAAAAACAGAAGACACAACAGGAAGATAGGGTGTGATTCCATTGATACAAAGCTCAGGACAGGCAAAGTATATATACCGTTTCGTTTAGGGATGCATACGTGAATGGTTTTTGTAAAAAGCAAGGAAATTAGTGAAAGGGCAACGAAAAGGTTTTGGGAGAGGTTTCTGGTGTGCTAGAAATGTTCTATTTCTTGCTCTGGGTGAGTCTTAGATTGTACTTTGTACCTTAGTTCGTTTTCACTATGTATATTTCATAATACAGTGGTTTTAAAAATTAGATACAAAAAAAGTCTATGCCTCTGATAATCTGCCTTTTATGAATCAAATGTAAAAGCAAATCTAGTGTACACAGAAAACTATAAAACTTCATTGAAGGAAATTAACAAGCTAAATAAATGGAAGGACATCCCATGTACATGGATAAGAGGATTTAATAGTAAAATAGCATTATCCAGGGGCACCTGGGTGGCTCAGTCAGTTGAGCGTCAGACTTGTGCTCAGGTCATGATCACACCGTTTGGTCTGTGAGTTCAAGCCCCACGTTAGGCTCTCTGCTGTCAGCGCAGAGTCCTCTTCGACCCTCCCCTGCTTACACCCCCTCTCAAAAATAAAAAATAAACATTAAAATGATAAAATAGTGTTCTCTCCCTAATTTATAGACAGATTCAAAGGAATCCCTTTCACAATCCCAGCTGACTTTCTTTTTTGTAGCAATGAAAAAGCCAATTCTCAAATTGATAAAGCATTGCAGGGGGCCCCAAGCAGCCAAAATAATATTTAAGAAAGAGAAACAGTGTTGGAGGACTCACACTTCCCATTTCGAAGCTTACTACAAAGCTACAGGAACCAAAACACTGTTGTATACTGGGAAGAAGGAAATACAGGTGTGAATCTTCACCAGCAGGGACTAGGCAGTGGGTATTTGGACACAACACCAAAAACACAGCAATCAAAGGGGGAAATGAGGTAAATTGGACGTTGTCAAAATAAAAACTTTTGTGCTTCAAGGTAAACTATCAAGAAAGTGAAAAGACAGCACACAGAAGGGGAGGATATTTTTGTTCGGTCCTGTATCTGGTTAGACTCTAATATCTAGAAATATAAAGAACTCCAACCGCTCGATGCCAAAAGACGAACATAATGTTAGGCAAGGGAATTGAATACGTTTCCCCAACAAGGATATGCAAACAATCAACCAACACGCGAAAAGCCACATCGTTATTCACTAGAGAAATGCAAAGCAAAGTCATAAGACACCCGTTCACACCACTAGGATAGCTAGAAGCAGACAGACAATAAAAAGTGTCAGGAAAATGGCGTAATTGGCGTAATTGGAACCCTTCTGCACTGCCTGTAGGAATGTAAAAAGCTGTAGCCACTTTGAAAAACAGTCTGGCAGTTCCTCTTGGACACAGAGTAACCATGTGACTAGCAATTCTGTTCCTACATACATACCCCCAAAGAATTGAAAACACACAAAAAAGTTGTACACAAATGTTTATATCAGCATTATTCAAAGTAGCCGGAAAGTGGGCTGTCAACATATAAAAATAACAAACGTGGTGTATCCATACAGTGGAATATTGCCCGGCCATAAAAATAAGTGAAGTATTGATAACCTGGTGCAATACGGATGAACCTTGAAAACACGCCAAGTCAAAGAAGCCAATCCCGAAAGACAACTTCACTGTCTGATTGCATTTATGTGAATGCCCAGGATAAGCAAATCTATAAACACGGAAAGTAGGTTAGTGATTGCCTGGAGCAGAGGGCAGGGAGAGGTAGGCGGTGGCTACTAACAGTTTCATTTTGAGGCAATGAAAATGTGGAATTAGATAATGACAGTTGCACAGACTGGTGAATATACCATAAACTATGGAATGGTACACTTCAAAGGGCCAATTTAATGGCATGTAATTGGTACCCCAATTTTTAAAAATATGAAATGTTAAAGTAACAACCAGTAAATCAGGAATTACTGTTTCATTTAAAAAAAAAACCTAGTAAGCTTAACTTTAAAAAATAGCGTGCTCATTGTAAGAAAAAAATGAAAACACCCCCTTCCCAAAGCAACCGTCACCGCGCTGTGAACGCTCCGGGTACCACTGTGTAAGGAATGAGTTGTTCTGGTTACTAGTGGAAAGAATGCCTCCCTCCGCCACCCACAAGCTGGCTGGAGGGGAGGAGGGTAATAGTAGCCCTAAAAATGCCAGGCCTTCTCTCTCCAGGACGGGATGTCCTAGTCATCTGGCTGCAGCAGGGGTGGCCCTGGCTGGGCGCGGGGAGGAGGCAGGGGACCTGGGAGCCACAGGGCGGAGCCTAGAGAGCGTGGGGGCGTGGCTCGGGGTCTGGGCTCCTGGTCTCAGAAGGCTCGCGGGGGCCACGGGGCGGGGCGTGAGGGCGCGGGGGCGGGGCGAGATGCTGGGACCTGGGCGGGACGGGAACCGGACCCGCGGGCCACGGGGCGGAGCCTGGGGGCTGCGGGGGTGGTGCTAAGGGGCGGGGCCGCGGTCGCTGGCCCAGAGAGAGGGGGAGGGGCCGGGCCCCGAGCTGTGGGCGCGTCGGTGCCCAGACGGCGGCGGCGCCCGCACGGGCGGCCCGGCCTCTGTCCCCGCGGCGCCGCGGCCGCCGCCCCCTGCCCGCCCGGCCATGCCGACCCCCGCGCCGCCCACCGAGCTGCTGCCGTCGGAGCGCGCCGTGGTGCTGCTGTCGTGCGCGCTCTCCGCGCTGGGCTCCGGCCTGCTGGTGGCCACGCACGCCCTGTGGCCCGACCTGCGCAGCCGGGCACGGCGCCTGCTGCTCTTTCTGTCGCTGGCTGACCTGCTCTCGGCCGCCTCCTACTTCTACGGGGTGCTGCAGGACTTCGCGGGCCCGTCGTGGGACTGCGTGCTGCAGGGCGCGCTCTCCACCTTCGCCAACACCAGCTCCTTCTTCTGGACCGTGGCCATCGCCCTCTACCTGTACCTGAGCATCGTCCACGCGGCGCGCGAGTCTCGAACCGGCCGCCTCCTCTGGGCCTTCCACGTGGTCAGGTGGGTGACAGCGGCGCTGCTTTCCCTCGAGTCCCCGCCCCCCGACGGGGCCCTGCCTTCTGCCCCTGTGGCGCCCCCGGCTTGGTCGGATCCCTGGCGGGGGGCCCAGCGGGGCGTGTCTGCTCGCGTTAGGGGGCAGCCCCGGGGCCAGCGGGACGATGCAGGTGGAGAGCTTGGACCTGTCCTGAGCATCAGCACAGAGGGCGCCCCTTCCTGCCCGTCCTGGCCCGAGCCTCCCAGCGCGAGCTGGGTGCCTCAGCGCAGCCCCTTGGAGGGTGGGGAGCCAGAGCTAGGCCCTCATAACTTGGAAGACACCTTACGCCTTTTGCCTCCTGCTTCCCTGAGTTCTGGCCATCTCTGCTGCCCACGGGGAAAGCGCTGGCTCCCAGGCTGACAGATGAGTGAGGCGCGGCCGCTCCCAGTCCCCACCCTGTGCCACCGGAGGTGTGATGCATTCAGCCACTCCCAGGCCAGCTGCCCTCTGCCAAATGCAGTGTCTCAGCTGTAAGATTTACAAAGGACGGTCTTCAATATTTTGTCTTTGCTCATCTCTAGACCCGGACGATCTTGACTTTCTAGGGTTCAGCGTCTCTGAGGGTGGGGTCAGTGGCAGAATCTGGTCTGGAAGAGCCCCCTCCCCCGCCTGGAGTTTATGGGAGTTAGGGTAAACCCAGGCGTGCCCTGACCTGGCATAGAAGCATCTCATTAGGTCACCGTCATCTGTGGAAGAAGGGTGGCCCCTTCCTGGTGTCATTTCAAGATTCTAACATCTGATGGTGTCCTGTGCTGCACCCAAGGCAGGAATCTTATAGGGCTTGTTTCCCCTTTCCTTCTCCCAGATAAGAGCACCAAAGACTGGGGCGCCTGGGTGGCCCGGTCGGTTGAACATCCCACTCTTGCTTTTAGCTCAGGTCATTATCTCATGGGATCGAGCCCATCACCGGGCTTTGTGCTGAAAGCGTGGAGCCTGTTTGGGATTTTCTCTCTCCTTCCCTCTGGCCCTCCCCCCACTCTCGCTCTCTCTCTTTCAAAATAAATAAATAAATATTAAAAGAAAAAGTGCACTCAATGCTGCCCTAATTATAGGACATCTCTGTCAAATACTTGAGTGCTTTCCATGGGACTGAGGACACTCAGCTCTGGTAGAGACAGGTCACCTGGGTGTCACAACGGTGAGATCACAAGCCTGCAAGCGTCACTTGACCTCTAGGTCTCAGAACTGCTGCATGAAGGCCAGCTGGCCCTTGGGAAACTAAATGGCCTGCTTCTCAGCTGTTCATGTCAGAGGTTTTGCAAGGAGTGAGACAGATGCTGTGGAGACACGGGGGCGCCTTACCCCCCTTGCAGCAACCCCTGAGCTCGGTATCCACAGCAGAGACCCAGGCCCTAGCAGTCTGGTTGGGTGTGGGCGTCATGCAGACCAGAGCTCACGTGTACTTGAGAAGGAACCTTAGACTGGACCTTTCTGAGCCAAGAGTCTCTTCTCTTTTTCTCCCCTCTTAAAAAAAAATATTGAATACAGTATATTTTTTTAAGTGGTAAAGAGAACCTAGTATAGATCCTATAGAAGGTACATTTCCTAATGAACTAGAGTTGGGAGTTCCTCCAGCTCAGTCCCGGGGGTATTTTCTGTGATGCTTAGGAAAAGTCTCCTAAGAAAGCCCCTATCTTTTGTTTTTTTAATAGTTTATTTGTTTTTGAGACAGAGAGAGACAACACGAGTGGGGAAGGGGCAGAGAGAGAGGGAGACACAGAATCTGAAACAGGCTCCCAGGCTCTGAGCTGTCAGCACAGAACCCGATGCAGGGCTCGAACCCACAAACTGCGAGATTGTGACCTGAGCCAAAGTCGGACGCTTAACCAACTGAGCCTCCCAGGCGCCCCAAGAAAGCCCCTTTCTTAAAGAAGGGGGTTGTTCACTGAAACAGGCTCCCAGGCTCTGAGCTGTCAGCACAGAACCCGATGCAGGGCTCGAACCCACAAACTGCGAGATTGTGACCTGAGCCGAAGTCGGACGCTTAATGAACTGAGCCTCCCAGGCGCCCCAAGAAAGCCCCTTTCTTAAAGAAGGGGGTTGTTCATCTTGTCCATTGAATGTGATCCATCTACTTCTTAAAAGAAAATTACCAGAAAGAGAAGGAGAAAATTACCTATATCCGAGCTAGAGAGGGAGAATGACAATTTATGTTCTGGAGTGTTCTCTTTCTGAGGCTTAGTGCTTAGCACCTCACTGGACTAAGAGAATCGGTAGAAAACCTGTCTAACAGGTTTAGTCATTGACCAAGATCCTCCCGGCCTGTCTTGCTAATGACCTTGCTAAGGCCTCTCCAGCAGCTTTCCTGGGCATATGAGCATATAATTGTTAAAGACCTGTCAGCAATCTCATCTTCAGACAGAGGCTGCGTCGTCATCCACTTTTTAACCATGTCAGACTGCTGAAAATCCATCTTCTTCAATCCTTCAGTTGATTATGTCTATTGTAGTTTTTATGAAATGATTTTTTAAACGATTTTATTTTTAAGTAATCTCTATGCCCAGCGTGGGTCTTGAACTCATGACTCCCCAGATCATGCTCTACCAACTAAGCCAGCTAGGCGCCCCTGAAATGATTTTTTTTTTTCAAAAACCAACAGATATCCTGATAAGTGACAAAGGACACATCCAGACACAGAGTCAAAATGGTTCATAAATCTATGTGGGGAAAAGGTTACTCCACTCATACTCAAACTAATGCAAATTATTTAACAATGAGGTGCCGTTTTGTTCTTAAATTAGAAAAAAATAGTGCAGTAGAATACTACCACAATAAATGCCAATAAAACAGGTATTTTCCTACGTTATTATCGATAACGTTGACTGGAATAATCCACGTAAAAAGTACTCCTTGATCTGCTAATCCTATTTCTAGGATCCTGTATATCTCTAAAGGGATTATCCAGAACACATTCAACGGTGTGTATACAGAGGAGTTTGTGTGAGAATTTGGAAGCAACTTGACTGTCAAAAAATCGGGGAATAGTAGTTTACAAGTTACATCCTACCGGAAATGTGACACAGCCGTGATACTGGCTGTGAACTCTTCCCGTCATGTTTTTTGAATGGCCTGATACAATGTTAAGTGAAAAAAGCCATCCATAAAACTGAATGCAACCGTGTAAAGCGGGAGGCCGGATGGAATCCTGCCCATACACCACTTTCCGGAAAGTTCCTTGAATGCCCCCTGAGACTCCATTGTAATAACTTGACCAGGTTCCCTTTACAGAAAGACTTTTCTCCCCCCCTTTGGAGAAGGGCAGCCAACACGTCATGCGCGCGTCCGGCTTCTGACATCTTGCCAGATGCGGGTTCGTTCCTTAGCCCGCTGGTCACCGGTAACGCAGGGGCCGGGCCAGCCGGTCACCCTCCAGTCACAGCTGGTGAGAGACTTGCCCCAGGTCACAGAGCCATAAGTGGGAGGCTCAGGGCTGCACCTCCCAGGGTCGGTCTTCCGTTTCTGATCCCATCTTGCCTCTTGGCCTGCCGATAATTTTTAAAATTGAGATGTCATGAGACAGTTTATTTCGGGCTTTCCAGATTTGCACCATTATTAACATTTTCTCACGTGAGCTTTGTCCTCTGCAGTCATTTTTCTGGACTCACTTAAGAGTAAGTTGCAGACTTGGGGCCCCTGGGTGGCTCTAGGCGGTGGCATGGCCAGTGAGGGCTCAGGTCATGATCTCACAGTTTGTGAGATCGAGCCCCACATCGGGCTCTGCTGTCAGCGCGGAGCCTGCTTCGAGAGCTCTGTCTCCTCTCTCTGCCCCTCCCCTGTGCGTGTGCTCTCTCTCAAAAAAAAAATATTAAAAAAGAAAAAAGAGTGAGTTGCAAACGGATGTCCCCGGAACCCCGAAGTCCTTTAGTGTGTATTTCCAAAAGAAAGGAACGGCCTCTGAAGTAACCACACGCCCCTTCCCAAAGCAGGAAAACAGCACAGCACGGAACGATGTTCTCCGACGGTGGACGTCACAGAGATTGTGTCTTCTGCGAACGTCCCCGACAGCACAGGGAACCGTGGGCTTGGGTTTGACTCAGCTGTCAGTTCTCTTTATTCCCCTTCAAAACCTGCAATAGTTCTTCTGTCTTTCCTGGTGTTTCACAACACTGACTTTTGAAGAGTACAAGCCTGGTTGTTTTGTTTTAATTTTTTTATGTTTATTTTATTTTATTTTATTTATTTTTAAATATTTTTATTCATTTCTAGGAGAGAGAGAGAGAGAGACAGTGTGAGCAGGGGAGGGTCAGAGAGAGAGGGAGACACAGACTCTGAAAAAGGCTCCAGGCTCTGAGCTAGCAGTCAGCACAGAGCCCGAAGAGGGGCTCGAACCCACAAACAAAAAGATCATGACCTAAGCGAAAGTCGGACGCTTAACCGACTAAGCCACCCAGGCGCCCCATGTTTATTTTATTTTTGAGAGAGCGAGAGAGACAGGGTGCGAGCAGGGGAGGGGCAGAGAGAGGGAGACACAGAGTCCAAAGCAGGCTCCAGGCTCTGAGCTGTCAGCACAGAGCCCGACGCGGGGCTTGAACGCACGAACCGAAAGATCATGACCCGAGCCGAAGTCGGAGCTCAACCGGCGGATCTGCCCAGGCGCCCCTGAAGAGTGCAGGTCTGTTTGGCAGAAGGTCCCTCTGCCGGGTTGCTGGGTGCTTCCCCACGAGTGGTTTCGGGTTCTGCGCTTGGGCTGGAATCTCACAGATGCGCGCGCTCTTCTCGTCCGTCCCCGCTGACCTTGACTCCTCCCGCCATCTGGTGATACTAACTTTGATCGCCTGATCAAAGCAGGTGCGACAGTTTTGCACTACAGTTACTGTTTTCCCTTTTGTGATTAGTAAGTATCTTGTTGCGATAAAGATCCTGTCCTTCCTCAAACTTTACCCGTGCAGCATGCGTTGAACCTGACACTGACAGTATTCTGAAGTGAATTTCCTGTTTTTTGTTGCCTTTTTAAGGCTCTTTGAGA